GTGGGTCCAGTTGCTGGTAGGGCACCGCTCCCCCCGATATGAAATGAGGGGACTCGGGTCGTTGCAGAAGTTGATAGTTTACGAGTTTCTTGTGGCATTTACGACTGGAATGTAATAGCTTGCAGGCGCACGTCAGGGTGACAAACGTCGAGATGCCAACAAGGTAGTCGTTGAACTTGTAACTCTCCGTTTTCAAATCTGGATTGCAGCGTCGCCCAAAAACCAAAAGAAGGCAGTTAATTACCATACAACTAATTCTATAATAGCTTTAAATATAGTGAAAAATTATACAGTCTGAGCAATAATAAACAATGATAAACTAAATTATAACCAAAAAAAAAACAAGCCAACCGCTGAAATGAAATTATCCACGAATTTCTCATTTCGTTTCATAGAACGTCGCAAAAACACTTGGTCACGGAGCTAACCAATCATGCAAAAATCATCTCAATATAAACTAAAAAAATAGGGAGTTAGTCAATAAGCTAAAAAATAAAATTCGTTACAGTAGATTAGATTTAAATTCTGACGGCTGCGAGCACAATAGTTTTGACGTTAATTTAACCGACTCACCTTCTTCTCCGAAGTAAGCGACAGTGAAGTGCAACACAGTCAGCACAAGACATGCCAGGATGCAGAGCAGGGCGACAACCTGCGCACCTCTGAGGGTGCGTTGAGAATGGCACACGTGGAGGAGGTCGTTGTGCTGCAGCAATTCCTGTATGAGGCATATCAGCGCCAGAACGCCTGCAACACATTCATTGTCGGTAATAATAATGTTAGTAATTACATCACTTAATAATATGCATACATATTTTGCCATATAAAGCACTAAAGAACAGAGTTTTAGATGAATACATCTATTTGAATTTCATGACCTAACATTCTCATTGTAATGTACACATTTGGATGAAGTAACTTTTACTAGCAATGTTAAATTCTACTATGACCACTGCGTCAAAAGCCCCTCACAAAAAAATTGTATCTGTTCACTTTTTCAGGAGCGGCTTTCCATACCAGCGCTTGTTGCTCTCATTGAATTAATATCCAGTAGCAATAAGATGATTAGCTAGCGCTTCATATATCAAGCTATTTCGCACCAGAGGTCAAAAGTTAACATCGCCAGCATGGAGGAAGGTCTCAATCATTGCAAAATTCTCAAATAATTCATAATCTCTAAGGGCGGAAAGGTCCCATTTGTCCAGTCTGCTGAAGTTGGTTCGAAAGAAGCAGCGTTAGCATCTCAATAAGACGAAGTGACAAGGAGGGACAGTGAAAAGCAACAGAAACTAAGACACTCGAACAAGAGGTCGCTTACACGGGACGTCGGCCACCCGCACGAGAGACAGAGAAGGGAAATGTAAGGAATCCTACCTAAATAATAACTTAACCCCACAACTAAGACCTGCAGTCAGACCGCGAAATCCCATAGGGCTTCTGACGAGCACAGACCCCATGAGAAGGGAATACATATCCAAACACGTAAAACGTGCATTGCCAACTATTTGTTAAGTAAGAACTTAAAAGTTGACCAATTTGAATTTTATAAAAATGAGATTAAAACATCTTTTCATTATCTCAGTTGATCATTGAAGGAGTTGATTGATTATCTCATTGAAAGTTGATTATCTCTCAGTTGATTATCTCATTGAAACAATCTCCATTGAAGGAGATTGTTTATTAATAAGATTCCAAGACACATTTTTGAGAGTTCACATCGTACGTACCGTAACTCTGTTCATTCTTTGGGTTTAATTTGTAAATCTTACCTGCAATGAAGGCCCAGATGACAGCTACGTCATTGTCAAACAATTCGTAGAAGGACACGCAAGCAGAAAAGCCAGAGATCGCGCCCACTAGGCAGAAAATCACGTTAATTACGTGACAGCCTTTTCTGCCGAACATTTTATGAAAAATAAAATGTACTCTTTTTTAAATAATTATAGAATATTTTCGTGCAATGGTTTAGTTTTTATTTAGTTTCAGCTTTTATTTTTGCAAATTCTCTACCCCTAAGATTAAAAATGCAATTACGTTCCGTAAAAACGAATTTTTCTTCTAATGATACATTAACTGATGTCAAGGATATTCTTGTCTAAAAGCCTGGTGACTTGGATCACTGCCTGTGGGAGAGTAGAAAGATTAATAACCCTTCAATAGGAAGCTCATCTCGAGTATAATGTTAGTAGTATGATAGCCACAAGGTGTAGATGTGCATCAGCTATGACTCCATATCGTACCGTAAGTCACGGAATGAGTACCGACAGAACTTTATCTTCAACTAACCATTCAGCTTGAAATTCGTTCATAACCCACAAAGAGCCGAAGGTCTGAGAAGTGCAGCCAGCTGAAGCCGAGGACACTAAAGGAATATTAGCGTCTCAGGGAGCCAAAGGTGTAGAGAGGAGACGTGAACAGCAACGAAGATGCTGGTACAAAACGTTGTATGCACGAGACGTCGGCCGTCCGCAAGAGAGACACAGAGAAGATATATGCAAGGAATCCTGCATAAATTTAATAGCCTAACCTACCAACTGAGACCAGCAGTCAGACATCACGAGCTTTGTGGTGGAGGAACAGGAACGTCCCTAAAACTATGTTCCTGGTAGCGCAAAATCCCTTAGGATTTCTGACGAGCCAAAACACTCGTCAGAAAAAGCCTCCCTGATGGGAAGCCTCCCCGCTCGAGAGTACCAGAGTAGATGAAAAACTCGTTGCCTGAAATATTAGAATGTAAATCAAATCATGAGGAATAATGATTTAAAGAAAATTCCGTTTAATTATGCTCCGGTAGCCCAGGGGTCGCATCAAACCCTAGAATCCCAGTAAAGCACTGCAATGTCTTCCTTCCTGTACCATATATAACATACATTAAAATTTCAAAACTTTGTAGCGAATTCGATTTAAAAAGGCTTATATTTGATCATTACTTACAAAGAACTTTCCTTATGGCATAAAACGAGCCTTTGCTGGAACCTCCGAGAGGCAATCATAGAACACCAAACAAATTAACCTGCCACCTACAAGCCGCAGATGCAGATGAGCTTGTGAATTATTAACGCACAAAAAATAACGAGAATCACGAATTTTTAGCAACGAAATCACGGCAGCGAAACTAAGCGATGCAGGGAAGGTGTTCACGAAAAGAAAGCTGAAATATACACTTTGAATTGATATAATTTTCTGAGAAGATTTCAATCTACATATAAACTAGAACCAATCTTTCCGATTCAATATTTCAGAATACCCGACATCTGACTCATAAAAAAATAAGAAGCGTCCGATAACAAACCCCATAAATAAAAGTTGTAACTATACAGAGTCGTGGAATGAGCACTCAAATGTTTTACACAGAACATAATCCCTAAAAATGAGTATCTTCAAAACAGAAAGTCAGATCCAATTTTGACGAGAACAACTCGTATCAACAGCTCAACAACAGCTCACTTACAGCTGATCATGAAAACATAAATTTAGTAATGCAGCATAACAGTAATGTAATGCTGCATTTGTAATACCACAAAATGCTATATGATAAATTCATTCATATATTAGGCAGAGAGTAATAAATATCACACTCTCAAAAAATGAACACTCAGCAGGTCACTGGATCAATTCCGGTGTTGTTCTTGCAATCTATCAAAGCAGAAGATGATATCCTCGCCAGAGCAATAATATTGCTTAGTATTTGTGAATAAATACGTCGAAAAAACACGACACAGCGCCGAACAGGCGCTCAGGAACAATCCCCCTAGGAGCGCGAAATCCCATAGGACTTCTGACGCGCACAGACACCCGTCGGAAGTCCCCCCTGAAGGGTTTTCCAGCAAATTATGGCGATTCAGCTGTGATTAATTTAATACATAAACTTGAAACTTTTTCTCGACAGAAATATTTCCACTTTTTAGAGCATACGAATGACATCGAAATTATATTTACACGTCTAGCAACAACATACCACTCTCGTTAACGATACAGGCGGTCAAGCCTAGCAGCGAACATTAGAGAAACACCGGCGTTCAAGGCAACACTTCAAAAAATGAAAATGAGAACAACAATTACATTTAGTACTGCTTGGACGGAAGCTAATCAGTACAGGAGAAATAATGCTGGGAAAATAACTATAACTAAAATCCATTATTCTTTCCAACAGCTGAACCCGACTGAGAACCTCAATAGCAATGAAAACTCTGGCGAGTGACAATTTGCCTCAATGGAACGATTGCTGTCATTTATTTGCTATAACATGAGTGCAGAATTAGCAGTATAATAAAGACCTAGGCTGTTAAATTAAATTTACTGCAAGTAGCCACAGCAACCCCTGCTGCCAGCATGCTTTCGAGCATGGTACATAAATTCTTATGAACCCTGCTCTAAAAAATACTTTAGATTAAAAGCCGTATTATTATGAGCTATAGGTGCAGTAAGTGTTATCTTAGTTTGGTACTTAACTCGAATTACGCTTTTAAAGAATTAACTTTCATGAAGGAATACATCTAAAATAGTTATCTAAATCAATGAATTCCAGTTTGTCAGATTTCAATTAGCTCTTGTTGAAAGTTCCAGCTCTATGACTAATCAGGATATTACAGTGGAAAATAAAATGACAGGTAGGAAAGAAGACAAATTCGCAGAAAGAGAGCAGAGCGTCGATGGCTCTAGAGTGTAACCAGATTACCATATAATCGTGGATAACTCATCACTCCCACAAAAAAATTAAATAAGTCACTTACCATTGAATAATTAAGTACCATAATCATTGATGCATAATGTCAAACCGCAAAACATGCAACTTCGCGCATTTGAGGCACTGCAAGTTGGACAGCTCTGAGCATTTCTCGATCACAACAAACGAGTCTAGCTTAAGGTCGAGTGTAGTATAATTTACATCGGGCTTCCTGGTAAGTACTAATGTATCTATGTATATTTTAAATGCCACCCGCATCTAATCTGGTAACAATTGATTTAACAACATTAGGTAAAAGAAAAATTCATCTTTCTGTTCAAACAATTCAAAACATCAGTCCTCCCAGCGATGAGAAAAGTCAACCGTCAAAAAGTGACCGATTTTCAGACGCCGACAAGCCTGGGTCCACGGGCAGCCGCAGATCCGTTTAATTCTTCCGCTAATCTGTCCATGTCGGCAACAGATTCTCCTTCAGTGTCAGCTGATCCATCGCAAGTATCTTCAGTTGGTTGCAATCTTCGTGTATCCGAGTACCAGTGTTGTGATACGCTACCTGGTTGATCTAGTTGCTGGTATCGTGTACCCGAGTATCCATGTTGTGATATGCTCCCTGGTGGGTCCAGTTGCTGGTAGGGCACCGCTCCCCCCGATATGAAATGAGGGGACTCGGGTCGTTGCAGAAGTTGATAGTTTACGAGTTTCTTGTGGCATTTACGACTGGAATGTAATAGCTTGCAGGCGCACGTCAGGGTGACAAACGTCGAGATGCCAACAAGGTAGTCGTTGAACTTGTAACTCTCCGTTTTCAAATCTGGATTGCAGCGTCGCCCAAAAACCAAAAGAAGGCAGTTAATTACCATACAACTAATTCTATAATAGCTTTAAATATAGTGAAAAATTATACAGTCTGAGCAATAATAAACAATGATAAACTAAATTATAACCAAAAAAAAAACAAGCCAACCGCTGAAATGAAATTATCCACGAATTTCTCATTTCGTTTCATAGAACGTCGCAAAAACACTTGGTCACGGAGCTAACCAATCATGCAAAAATCATCTCAATATAAACTAAAAAAATAGGGAGTTAGTCAATAAGCTAAAAAATAAAATTCGTTACAGTAGATTAGATTTAAATTCTGACGGCTGCGAGCACAATAGTTTTGACGTTAATTTAACCGACTCACCTTCTTCTCCGAAGTAAGCGACAGTGAAGTGCAACACAGTCAGCACAAGACATGCCAGGATGCAGAGCAGGGCAACAACCTGCGCACCTCTGAGGGTGCGTTGAGAATGGCAGACGTGGAGGAGGTCGTTGTGCTGCAGCAATTCCTGTATGAGGCATATCAGCGCCAGAACGCCTGCAACACATTCATTGTCGGTAATAATCATGTTAGTAATTACATCACTTATTAATATGCATACATATTTTGCCATATCAAGCACTAAAGACCAGAGCTTTAGATGAATAAATTTATTTGAATTTTATGACCTAACATAATCATTGTAATGTATATAGATTGTGAAGACGGAACTTTTACTAGCAATGTTAAATTTTACGATGACTACGCAGAGTCAAAAGCCTCTCATGAAAAAACGATTTTATCTGTTCACTTTTTCAGGAGTGGCTTTCCATACCAGCGCTTGTTACTCTCACAGAATTTATAACCAGGAGTAATAAGATGATAAGCCAGCGCTTCATCTATCAAGCCTCTTTCGCACTAGAAGTCAAACGTCAACATCGCCAGCAAGGCGGAAGGTCTCAATCGTTGAAAAATTCTCAAATAATTCATCACCCCCCAATGGGCGGGAGGTCTTAGATGACCAGCCCGCTGGACCTGGCTCGAAAGAAACAGCGTTAGCTTCTCAATAAGACGAAGAAGTCACAAGGAGGGACGGGTGAAAAGAAAAGTGTACGAGTGTACTTCTTGTACACTCGAACAAGAGGTCGCATACACGGGACATCGGCCGCTCGCATGAGAGACAGAGAAGAGAAATTAACCAATCCCTTCCTACATAACAACCCCAATACTGAGACCTAAAGTCAGACCGCGAAATTCTACAGGACTTCTGACGAACACAGACGTCACAGAAGTCACCCAACTTGTATCTATTCCACTGAGAGGGGAATTCATATTCCATTATCGGCCTAATGGTGACAACGACAACTTCAAAGTTGATCAATTTGCATTATATTAAGATATGATTAAAACAACAATTCATTATCTCAGTTGATCATTGGATTGAAGGAGATTGTTCATAATAATATTCCAATAGACACGATTGAGAGTTCACGTCGTGCGTAACGTAACCCAGTTTATTTCTTGGTTTTAATTTGTAAATCTTACCTGAAATGAAGCTCCAAATGACGGCTACGTCACAGTCAACCAATTCGTAGAAGGTTGGCCAAGCAGCCAAGCCCAACGCGCAGGTAATCGCGTTAATTACGTGCCAGCCTTTCTTGCCGAACATTTTATGAAAAGTAAAATGAACTTCTTATTTAAATAATTATAAAACCAATTCCGTGCAAATGTCTAGTTTTTCAGAATTTCAGCTTTTGTTATTGAAAATTCTAAACCCCTTAACGCAAAAATGCAATTACGTTTAGGAAAAACGAATTTTTCTGCTAATGATAAACTTGACTGCCGTCAATGATATTCGTGTATAAAAGCCTAGTGACTTGGATCACTGCTTGTGGGAGAGTAGAAAGATTAATAACCCTTCAATAGGAATCTCACCTCGGGTATAATGTTAGTAATACGATAGACACACGGTGTGGGATTGCATCAGCTATGACGCCACATCGCACCGTAAGTCACGGAATGAGTACCGACAGAACTCTATCAGTATCAACTAACCATTCAGCTCGAAATTCGTTCATAACCCACGAAGGGCCAAAGGTCTGAAAAAGTGCAGCCAACTGAAACTGAGTACACTAAAGAAATATTTGCGTCTCAGAGAGCTACAGAGCTGTCCTCTCTACACTACAAAGAGTGTAGAGAGGACACGTGAACAGCAACGAAGACACTGGTACACGAGACGTCGGCCGTCCGCAAGAGAGACACAGAGAAGATATATGCAAGGAATCCTGCATATGCTTAACCCTACAACTGAGACCAGCAGTCAGACATCGCGAGCTCTGTGATGGAGGAACAGGAACGTCCCTAAAACTGTGTTCCTGGTAGAGCAAAATCCCTTAGGATTTCTGACGAGCCATAACACTAGTCAGAAAAAGCCTCCATTATGGGAAGTCTCCCCGCTCGAGAGTACCATAGTATTAGAAATGTAATTGATAGAGATTTTTGAAAATTCAAATGTTAAAAATTAGATTTAAAATTTCCATTTGTCTTAAAATAAAGAGTTTACGTCGCTCTCTAACTTTAATTCAGTAGGGAAAGAAGAGACCAGCCTTGACAGCCGCCGGTTTAAATTATTATTAAAATATCTTGTCCTAAATTTCCTCTCATTCTTCAACCTCGTTCATTTGCATGCCATTCACTTGATTGGCCCAGTTCATTCGAATTAAGATCTTAAGATGCTTCTCCGCAACTATTACCAATTCCAATTAACCGCATGCTTCAATTTATACTCTCACTGGGCTAATCTTTCTCACTTGACTCGGCGCATTACTAGGCTTCAGCCTCTTAAGTGGATTTTTCATTTAAGGTAATTATGTTCTCAATTGACTATTGAATTATTATTTCCAATTATATCTCGATTATTTCGCGAGTTAATTATATTTCTTTGTCAGCAGCAATTCAAGCGTATTTTTATATCGACTTCAGAACAACCCGTCAGGGGCGACGGGGCATAGCTCACGTACGGTTCACGTATACGCCGACTACGCTGCAGCTGCCTCTATTTCTTTATATTGGATACGAAACCAAGACTAAAACCTTGTCAACACCATTCAACTAGTAGCAAGAAATAAATTTGACTGCAAATTTGATCCGTAAATTTCATTTGAAAATAAAAAGTTGAAGATATTTCAGCTGAGCTACAGTTGTTTTATAATCATTAACAATAGTAGAACAAAAATTCGCTGCATGAAATAATGGAATGTAAATGATATCCTGAGAAATAAAATTTCTAAAAAATTCTGTAAACTATGCTCCGGCAGCCCAGGGGTCGCATCAATCCCTAGAATCCCAGCAAAGCACTGTAATGTATTCAAGTACTGTATATTAAATACATTAAAATTTCAAAAAATTTTGTAGCCAATTCCTTCTAAAAAGGCTAATATTTGATAATTAATTCCGAAGAACTTTCCTTATGGCATAAAAAGTGCCTTTGCTGGAACTCCCGTGAGGCAATAATAGAATAAAAACAAATTAACCTGTCCCCTACACGCCGCAGGTGCAGATGAGCTTGTGAATTATTAGCGCACAAAAAACAACGGAAAATATCACGAATTTTCAGCAACGAAATCACGGCAGCGAAACTAAGCAATGCAGGGAAGGTGTTTTCGAAAAAAAACGCTGGAATACACACTTTAATTTTCTGAGGTTATGTCAATCTACATACAAAATAGAATATTAATCTTTCCAATTCAATATTACAGAACAAATAAAATAAGAAACTTCCAATAATAAATCCCACAAATAAAAGTTGTAACCATAAAGAGTCGTGGAATGAGTACATAAGCAGCCATTCAAA